CGGCAGTTTGTCCAAGTGGATGTCAGCCGAGTGAGAACCACAAACTCGTGGGTCTGTGAGAGCGGCTCCCACAACAGGCTTCTAGGGCCTGTGCCTGTGTTCTGCCCTCTAACTTTCCCTCTTATGACAAACAACACTTTTACACAGCACAGCACAAAACAAGACAAAAGACAGCAAAAGGGATGGAAAAGAATGGCCTGATTCCACCAAGGATGCCAAAAAAAAAAGGAACCAATGATGAAACCCAGGTACCAAACCGAAGAAGAAACAGCTGAGGAACTCAGTGCAAAGAGATCGGGGTTCAGACCTGATCCTGACTTACCACGTCGTCATGGACTGGACAAACAGAAAGGCACGAGGGGCCTCTGTGGGTACCACACCTGGTCAAAGGCTGGGGTACACGGTGACAGGCAGTGCGGACCAGGTGTTGTGGAGCCTCCATGATTAACTGTAGAAATCAGTGAAGACCAACCAAATGAGAAAAGGAAAGGTGGTTTACTCTGAGCTCGCTCTAGCAAGGGAGCCAGGCACCATCACCTGAGTTCTGGCAGCGACTCAGAGGCAGGCAGAGGAGTGGGAAGGGTTTACAGAGGAACACAGGGAAGCCTCAGTGCGCCCTGATGGGGCCGTTGGCCTGGGGAAGCTGGAGGCGGCCGACTAGAAGTGGGGCGTCCTCTGGGATCGGTTGGGGGCGCATGTTTGGTGTTCTCTGGGTGATCCTAAGTTGGAAGCAGGGACAAAAATTACGGAAGCTGTCAGTTATTGATGAAGTCCTGGCCGTTTTGGGTCAATTATTACAGAAGTTATTGTTTAGCCTCCCAGGTTGTCCCTAGAGATAGCAGTCTGGCTTCCACTTGACTGACGTATGGCAGGCTGGCTTCCTGGGTTGTTGATGGTAGATAAGCTGTTAGTTTTCTGGGCAGGTTGCTTTAGATTATGGGTCAAAGTTCTAAATGTGGTCTGGCCACTGTCTGTTGGTATGTTCAGTCTTTCATGGCTCTCGTTAGAATTTCTGGTTCCGCCATTAGTTTACTCTTATTTTTTTTTAAAATGTACATTTTTTATTTTAATTAATTAATTAATTAATTTCTTTTGTGGAAGATTAGCCCTGAGCTAACTGCTGCCAATCCTCCTCCTTTTGCTCAGGAAGACTGGCCCTGAGCTAACATTCGTGCCCATCTTCTTCTACTTTATATGTGGGACGCCTACCTCAGCATGGCTTGCCAAGTGGTGCCATGTCTGCACCCGGGATCCGAACCGGTGAACTCCAGGTTGCCAAAGCGGAACGTGTGCACTTAACCGCTGCACCACCGGGCTGGCCCCTAGTTTACTCTTGACCAAAAAAAAAAAAATCCCTCATCACTTGGGGTCTCGCTGTGTGCCCTGTGTGGGTTTAGTAGGCAAAATTTGCATGGTACTTTGAGATCTAGAAGCCTTTTCCCTTCCCCCGTTCCCACTCAGCCTGTCCTTTTGTGTAATCATCTCTCTGCGGGTAACCCTTCCCTGGGAGCTCCTGAAGTCTGTGCCCGGAGCAAGTAAGGTCCAGCAAGAAGCTGAGAGGGAGGGAGCATTAGTACTTTAGATGGCTGGGGATTTCTGTATTTTTAAAATGTTAGTCCCCTTTATTGAAGAAAATAGGGCATAGTAGTTTGGAAGTACTTTTAGAAATAAGAAGTAGTTTGTCCTGGAAATTTTATTTCCTTATAACTGGCACGTTTCTTAATAGCCAAGCATTATGATCACAAAGGCCCAAAATAGCCTCTGCAAGGTTGTTCTGAGCTCCAGAACCCCTGGGAGGTGGCCTCAGGGAGCTCTGGGCCTCCCAGAACGTTCTGGAAACCAAAGGAGAGAGCAGGATAGAAGTCTCTGGGCCACCGTGGGCCCCACCTCAGCCATGAGAGCAGATCCGCAGAAGTGAGATCTGAGAGACACTCCCCAGGGGCAGCTGCTTTTCCACTGAATTAACCTCTGTTAAATATTTCCACTTCCAGGTCTGTGGTTAGGGATCATCATCTGTGCAGTCTCTCAAGCTGTGTGTTTTCTAGGATTTGTTGCTCGGCTAAATTGGAAAAAAGCCTGTCAACAGGTAACTAACTATGTTTATTGCTATCCCATTAAAGTTTCCTCTCCTAGAAAACAAACAGAATCAGCTTTGGCGCTCTCTCTCCTTTTGGAAGTTCTTTTCTCTTTTATCGTGAAAGCTACTTTTCTGTTGTTTTAACTGGATTTAATTCAGATGTGAAGGGGCCAGGTGACTGGATTTATCCATTCTCCATTGTTAATTCATTAATTAGAAAAATATGGAATTCCTTTCTTCCTCGTATCCTGTGCTAGGCTGTGGCCCTTGTGCCTGAAAAGCCAGTTTCAGGACAAGATTTGCAACTGGAGAGAAAGGTGGGATGCCGTAAAATTCATCTTGATATGTTTTTTATGATCTCAAAAGATTTCATCAAGATACCTGTGTGCATCTTTCTCTCCAACTTTATAGGGTCAATGTAGGGTCTGAAAATAGGTGAGAGAGAAATCTGGAGGCAAAAGAAGGGAGAATTCTCACTGAATTTGGTCCCTGTCTTCTCCCTCATCATGTGCTTTTTCTGTCCAACCTTCCCCCATCCACTGACCGCATGTCAATCTTTATGATGGATGATTCCAGGCTTGTGAACTAGAGAAGCACCAACGTTGCATGTCAGTTAAAGAAAATGGATTGGCTTTTCCTAAACTGGGTAGTCAAGTGTTTCATTAACACTATGGTAAAGCCTTGTGGATTTACTTTGAGTTTCGTTTTCTAGGCTCAGGTACATGCCAATTTGAAACGAAAGGCACCGGATGGGACTTCTGCTTTCTCTCAGGACCTGCTTGACCCAGGTATCATATGATAGAACAGCTCTACTCTTGGAACAGGCCTGTCTAGCTGGTCCTAGAAGGGCCATTTGTGGGACAGAACTAGATTTGCTGCTGGGTGCTCCCATTTAAATAAGGAGGTGTTTCAGAAACAAATGATAAAGTCAGTTAACACCCAATTTGAGGTAAACAGACTCGACAAGACTGTTATAGATGATGAAAGGCTACAGGTAGCCACTTCCTTGCTAGTACTTATGTAGGCATTCTACAGACATTTCCTTTTTTTTTTTTTCCCAAAGATTGGCATTGAGCTAACATCTGCCAATCTTTTTTTCTTCTTCTCCCCAAAGTCCCCCAGTACATAGTTGTATATTCTAGTCATAGGTCCTTCTAATTCTGCTATGTGGGCCACCACCTCAGCATGGCCTGATGAGCAGTGCTAGGTCAGCACCCGGATCCGAACCAGTGAAACCCTGGGTGGCTGAAGCAGAGCACGCGGACTTAAGCGCTCGGCCATGGGCCGGCCCCTCTGCAGACAATTCTAATGCTTGGGCATCTGTGCTTTGACCACGTCTGACATTGGTATGTTTGTTTCAGTGGGGTCCCTGCTGTCTGTCAGGCAAACGTAGGTGGGCTTTAAACAGGTTATGATTTTGACTGTACTTTTGATGAGCATCATGCAAATGTGTGTATCTTTTTCCTTCTGTCAATTTAGTAACCCTGCCACATTCCCAGTTCCTTAGGGAGTTAGTCATCCACTCACACTGGTTACTAGCTCCTTTGTAACTGAAACCCTTTTGAGCTCAAATATTGGCTGGACTGCAGTCAGTGGTCAATTCTGTTGTTTCTGCCAGTTCTGATTCATGTTGTCTAGTCTCCTGTGTGTCTGGTTGACTTTGTGTTCCAGACTGTATTTGAAAACTGTTTGTAGAAGTAACTTGAGGCCTAAGATGTCGTCTGTCTTCAGAGAGGACTTTCCTTTGCTTCTGTCAAACACTTAGGGTTCCCAGCAGTCTAGGGCAATTTCAGAAATCAAGGTCTTTGGACCACTCATCTGACCCAAAGGCGAGCAGTGTGAGGGCTGGCTTACTTCTGGTTCATCCTGAATTCTTGATGCAGCCCCTCGGAGTTCTAACCCGAAGTGCAGAAGGGTTCACTTTGGTAGCTACTGAACTCCCAGAAGCACTGCTCAGCTTCTTAGCCGCATTGTCCAGATGGAGAACTCTCAGGGCAAAAGCTACCCCAAAGGCTGGCGCACTCTTCTGGGTTTCCACCATCTTGCCCTGGTGACTTTTCATTACGTTGTTAGCTCTCTGACCACTGCAAGATATTTTCATTTGTTTCATCCAGCTTTTATGATTATCTTCAGAGGAAGGGTTGGTCTGAGTGTCCTACCGTCTACCATTTGTCAAGTCGGGTTAGTAATAGCACTTCCCTCACACTGCTGTTGCCAGGGTAAGCGAGCTCATCCGAGGGCAGTGCTGAGAACAGCGCCTGACGTGGAGTGTCAGTGCGAGCTGGTGTTATCCTGTTCAAAATTGTTTTCTCTCAGAACTCCGAGGGCTTGTATCATTCCTGATATTCACTTATGCTTATTAAGAAGTCGAATGCCAATCTTCCGCTTGTTACCTTGGGGAATCTGCCCCTAGTTTTCTCTGGGGAGCTTTCAGGGTATCTTCCTCCTTCTTACTGTTCTGAAGTGACATGAGACTAAACCTGGGTCTCAGTCACTATCCTCCTTGGTACTTGGCAGGCTCTTTGATGTGAAGAGTCTCTTCAGTTCTCTGAATGGCCTTGAATTATTTCTTAAGTTATTTTTCTCCTCCATTGGCCCTGTTCTCTTTCTGAAATACTAATTAGATGGGTGATGGCCCCTTAAAAGTTTCCCATATGATCTGAACTTGGACAGCTACTGTACTTCTCTGCTTCTTGCCGTGGGGCAGAGCTCCCTGGAGGACCCAAGCCGACAGTAGGATCCGGTCAGTGTTTGTGAATGAGTGAATGGAGAGGCACTCAAGATAGGGTATCTCTTTTTATCCACTGTAGCAACTGCTTCCTGAATTACCTTCCTGCCAGCTAGTAACACATGTACACATCACCTTTTATACAGATGAAAAAAATCCTTTTAAGCTGCTAACCAAGTTCCTTTTTCCTCCCAGTGGACCCTGAAAACCATGGAGGAATTTTAATGGGAGATATCGAAAAAAAAGATGAGACTCAGCTGGATCAGCAGATGCACCAAGAAGAATGTCTTCAGGTCCTTCCAAGGGACACGATGAAGTTGTCCAGGAGACAGTTGGTGCTGCGGCGAGGGCTCCTGCTTCTGGGGGTTGTCTCAGTCTTGCTGTTGGGGATCTTAGTGCGAGTATATGTCAGAATTCAGTGATGTGGCAAGAGAGAGCTAGGCAGGTCAAGAGATGCTTTCCAGCTTACAAATAAATAATTCAGAAGCCGCACAGTGGCAGTTCGTTTCAGTTAACGTAATTCAGGAGTGCCCATGGATTTCAAGACTTGAGAGTTCAAAGATGTATTTTCTAGTGAAGAAAAGGAACTAAGGTAAAACCTATGTTCTAGTCCAAGACAATGTCTCAAAGGCTACACTGTCTCAACGAAAGACTGCTGTGTACTGACTGCATCCTGCTATAGCTTTGACATTTCTTCTGCTGTTTAGACACGAGCCCATGTACTGAGTGCTTAAGGATTCTTACTATCTGAATTATTTAAAATATATTTTACAATATATCTTTCCTTGTGCCTTAGATTATTATTCAATGGGAAATGGGATTTGTTAATATTCATTTGGGGTCCAGATCTCAGGCACCATGGCCACTGGAGATGCTTAGGAAGCTAAAAGGGGATAAGACAGACATTAAGAAGAAAGGAGTCAGATGGCCTCGATTAGCATCAGGGCCAGTCTTAGTATGTGTTTGGCTGACATGGATTGGCCGAGGCAAGGAGAGATGAAGCTGTAGGCTCAGGCCCCACTGGGAACCAGCACTTCATTTTTCTCGAGTGGTGGGCATCCCAAAGAGAGAAATAAAGGGTCTGAAGAGCTAATGCAGGTAAACTGGAGGAGGAAGTCAGACCCCTTCCTATTTTGATAGAAGGAAGGGGTTAGAAAGTTGGAAGGCAGCAGAAATGAAAAGAAGTTGCTAGGCGAGGGGAGGGTGGGGTCCTGGGCAGGTCCTATTTATCTTCTGTTTGGGTCTGTCCTGGTCTTTAAAAAAGCACTGGCTCTTGGTGCCTTCTCTGGTATATCCAGGAGATTTTATATGGTCGTGTCTCAAAAAAATAAGGTTTTCATGAATGTTCCCTTCTCCTTGGATTTAGAAAATAGTTGGGGAAGTCTTTGGAGCTGTGAAAATCCAAACGGCCATTGCTGCTTCTTCCCGGGGTGGTCGGTGGACAACGCTTCAATAGCGGCCTTGAATTAAGAACTAACCACACTTGGCTTCAGCCTTCCCGGGGCTAGGTCCACGCTGTGAACCCAGCAAGCCTCAGTACATGTAGTACGCGGAGTGCTGGAATGGATACAAAGAGCAAGGCATGGCCTTCGCCCTGAAAACAGCTGATAGACGAAATCAGAAAAGTTAGCTGCCCTGAGTGAAAAATACCCAGTGGCAGATTTTAGCCGGGGCCACTCTCAGTGCCTCATTCTTCTTGGGTCTACGTAAGTGGAAGGTCTTTTCCAGGGACTAAGATGCAGGCTTGCACTTACGGTGGCCCTCACGGCTGGGCGCCAGCAAAGCCCCCTCTCCCAGCTCTTTGTTAGGAAGCCCGCACATCCCCTCTTCATTCCATCCCCATTGGACGCCCGAGCCTCCTAGGGCTTTCTCCCACTGCCTGCCCTTCCCCTCGCCAGGTAGGAACCCCGAGATACGGAGGCTCACCCAACCAGCTGCAAATTGCTGGCAAGGAGCTCATTCGCGGGGAGCAAATTCTTTATCACAGCCAGAAAGCGAGGCAGAGGGAGAGATGTCACCTGAAATGCCAGCAGTGTGCTCTGGAGGGCCGCCCTCCCCCCTCACCCCTCAGCACATCTTCCTTCTCCGACCTGTCGTCTCCCTTGTCGTCACCGAGCGCCGCGCCCACGGCTCCCCCACAAGGACCCCCTCTCCCCCGACACCGCGCCTTCCCCTGCCGCCAGGGTGGCCTGCCGCCCCCTCCCCGCCTCATCCCCGGGGCTCCGCCGGCGACGACGGTTGGCCGGGGCGCCGGGGTGGCTGCAGGATGGAGGTGGAGGTGGAGGTGGGGGTGGAGCCGCCCGCCCCCCGCCTCCTCCGCGCTCCCATCGCGTGGGCGCGCCCGCCACCGAACCGCTCCCGCGCCGGCATGGACCTCGCCGCGGCCGCCGACGCCGAGACCCCCGCGCGCCCGGGCGCCCCCCGCTGGCGCGGCTGTCTGCGGGGCCTGCGGGGCGCGCTGCCGCCCAACGTGCGGCGGGAGGCGGCCGAGCTGGCGGCGCTCGCGGGCCCCGTGGTGAGTGCGGCCGGCGCCTGCCGCGGGGCCCCCCCAGGCGGTGCGCGATGCGGCGTTCTACCAAGTGCGGTCCTGCGCTTTCCCGCTTTGCTCCGCGAAGCATGCCCCGGGGCGGAGAGGGTTGCAGTAAACCCGTCCTTTCCTTCCTCTTCCCTTGGCAGTTCCTTGGACAGTTGATGATCTTTCTGATTAGCATCGTCAGTTCCATATTCTGTGGACATCTGGGGAAGGTCGAGCTGGATGGTGTCACGCTCGCTATATCGGTAGGTTTTAAAATTTTTATCTTGTTATCTGGGCTGACAACGTGGTCGAGCCTCGGAATTTGAATTGTATTGTGTCTGACACGTCTTCCTTTACAGGGCCGGAGCTTGACCAAGGGGTACCATTACCTTATCTTTAGATTTGAAAGAAGATCGTGTCAACTACTTAGAAAAAGTGTTTTCAGTACTCTTAAACCATGAGGTGTGGCCAGCCTCCAATTACAAAGGGACCAGGTATTGCAAGGAATTTGTAGCAATTAGATAAATTGTGCTGGTAAAACTAAAAGAACTGCGCTTTTTCGTATTATAAAATTAAACCAAAGAACTTTTAGTAATTTAGGTTGTCTGCCATTGGTTTGAATTACACAGTTCATTAAAGTCACACTAACCCTGGTAATAAAGTGTCTTCCTTAGGCCATGGATTGAAATTACACCTCCTTTCAAGTCTTTTGTCCCTGCATTTTTGTTAGTGATGCAGTAGAAAGTTGCCTTTCTCTTGCATTTTATCCAGGTTTTCAAAGAAGGTGAAAAATACTTCTCCTGCTGCTGAAGGCAGGTGGTTTTTTCCAGGCTCAGAAAATGTGCCTTCTGTCCCCACAGGAGGTGGGTATACGCTCTAAGATCATGGCGGGGCCACAGAAGTTATTCTGTCGGCTTTATGGTTGAGATGAACTTGGTATGTAGAATCAGACATTTCATTTACAGGTCTGTTATTGGGTGAAGTAATTTGAGCTAAGGGATATTTCTACTTCCTTCGAAAGTTTCATTGGGTCTCTAGAAAGACTCAAGAAAGAAGAGAAGCTTTATATACTGGCTGTTAACAGTGTCCCCTCCAAGAAGGATGAGCTTAACCCCTCCACCACATAGGGCTACGTGGCCCTGGCACACGTTGTACTCCTGGTCACCCTTCTGGGTGTGAACAAACATTAACAGTGGGTGATTCTCTGAAATTTGAGGGACACTTTCTCCAGTTTCTCCACAGAGCCCAAGATTGGTGTCCACTTTTTCCTATCACTGCTTCCAAACAGTTACCCTACGGTGGCCATTTACAAAAAAATTTTAAAAATTAATTTTTTGTTGAGATATAATTGATATATAGCATTATATTAGTTTCAGGTGTACAACATACCGATTCAATATTTGCGTATGTTGTGAAATGATCACTACAATAAGTCTAGTTAACGTCTTTCACCATACATAGTTAGAAAATTTTCTTGTAATGAGAATTTTTAGATTTACTCTCTTAGCAACTTTCAAATACTATGCAATGCAGTATTATTAACTATAGGCACCATGCTGTACCTTACATCCCCACACTTTATGTATTTTATAACTTGAATTTGTACCTTTTACCCCCTTCACTCATCTTGCCCATCCCCCCCTGCAACCTCCAATCTCCTCTCTGTATCTATGCATTCGTTTTTTGTTTTTGTTTTTAGATTCCACATTTAAGTGAGATCATATGGTATTTGTCTTTCTCTGTCTGACTTATTTCACTAAGCATATAGCCCTCAAGGTCCATCCACGTCTCAAATGGCAAGATTTCCTTCTTTTTTATGGCTGAATAAATTCCATTGTGTGGAATAAATTCCATTCCAGGTCTTACATTCACGTCTTTAGTCCATTTTGAGTTGATTATTGCGTGTGGTGTAAGATAGGGGTCCATTGAATTCTTTTGCATGTGGCTGTCCAGTTTTCCTAGCACCATTTATTGAGTAGACTGTCCTTTTGCAGTGCCCGTTTTTGGACAGTCCATCCAGGTATACCATCCTGTACTTCTCCCTGTTGATGATATCGAGTGGCCGGTACATGGCCTCTTCCTTGTTCATTGAAGACCTCAGCGCCTGAGTGCTCATCTTCTTGGGTGTGGGGGCTCCACCTCCCTGCATCTCACTGGCTTCCAGGACCCCCCAAATGCACTTCAGGCCCCACACCTTGCACATTTTCATCCCTCATCATGGACCCATAGTAGAAGTTTTAAACTTTGCTTTCCTGCTTAGTACCTTTTATCCCTGGAGCTCTGTCAAGTCTCCACCCCATCCTACCTGCCCTTTGACCTCATGGGGTCATGACGACTATGCTATGATCCGAAGAGTCCATGCCTGACGACCCCTCACCTCCCCTTCAGTACGGCCACCCAGATCTCCATCACTCCCCTCTTCAGGACCAGCCTCCTGCTGTGCTCTGGAGGCTTCTTTCTCCTCCAGCCCCTTCTCTTTAACTGGTCCCATTGCATTCTGATAAATATATTCAGTTGTAAAAACACCTCCATCACCTGTCTCCTCCTTGCCCAGTCCCCTCTCTGGCCTCTATCCACTTATGCTCTTTGCTCGAAAGTCTCCATTACATCTTCATTTTTCTTTTCTTCCCATTGCAAGCTGGCCACTATTTCCCCACCACTCCATTTAACCTACTCTTGACGAAAGCTGTCAGTACCTCCCCCCAGCCATCTCCGGAGGACTCACCCGTGCCTGGCCCCTTGTCACTCCCTCACTCCTGGAAACTCTGCCTTCGGTGCTTCCATCGCTAGTCCTCTTTGGTTCTCCTTCCACTCTTCTGAGAGTTAGACTTGTCTTCCTCTCCCCTCTCCCCCTCCCTTCTGTTTGTTAGTGCCTCCCAAATTTGTGTCTCCGTCCTTGACCTGGACTGCCTTCATGTGTCTAACTGCTCATGTCTATAACTGGGTCTATTGGCTGAATATGCCAGGGACTCCTCACACTCCGAATATCTGAAGCTATAGTGACCGTCCCCACTTGGGAGCCCTAGACACTCCCCTCTATTTCTACACCCCACGTCTTGGTCAGTCAGCAAGCCCTGCTAACTTTATTTCCCCCATTTCTTAAAATCACTCCTTTTCTTCTGTTTCCTGCTTTCGCTCTCTCCATCCAGACTTCATCCTTCCTGCCTGCCCTGCAGCCTCTGTGCTGAACTGGCCTCCCCTCCTCCAGCCCTGGATCCATCCTCCTCTCCTCCATTCTGGAGCCAGAGTCTAGAACCACTAATCCAGTCCTCCTGGCTTAACATCCCTCAGCGGTCCCCTGATGATGAAATCTAGACCTCTTGGCCTCCTGCTGTGGGTGTCCACTCACTGCATTCTGTTACTTGCATGTGGGGTGCCGACATATCTTAGACACAGCCTGGGGGCATCTGCAGAAAGCTTTCCCTGAAGACCCCAGCAGGACCCCACCCAGAGCCCCTCCTCTGTGCCCTCAGTGTGCCGTGCCAGCCTCTGTCTTGGTGCCTCCCGTGCTGGGCCCACATTCTCTTTCTCTGCATGCTCTCTTGCTGATCTGCCAGCTCATGTTAATTTTTGCCGAACCTGGTACCTGGCACGGATCTGGCCCAAGTACATGTTTCAGAGAAATACATAGCTCAGGAGAACCATCTGTGAGCCACCTCTCACCCAGGCATCACCTGAACTTTTCCTTTTCTTCTCAACCCCACTCCCTTATGCTTTTCCATCCTCTAATATGGGGAGGGTTTGAAATGTTACATTTGTGTACGTGTGTAGAGTCCCATGACTCCTATTCTTTCAGTTATTTCATCAAACTATTTTAAAACCTATCTTGGAGGGGGGGAAGCTAAATTAAGATTTTTATTTATTTATTTTTCTTCTTCTTCTCCCCAAAGCCCCCCAGTACGTAGTTGTATATTCTACTTATGGGTTCTTCTAGTTGTGGCATGTGGGATGATGCCTCAGCATGGCCTGATGAGTGGTGCCATGTCTGTGCCCAGGATCTGAGCTGGTGAAACCCTGGGCCGCTGAAGCTGAGCAGGAGAACAACCACTCAGCCACGGGGTCGGCCCTAAATTAAGATTTTATAGGTGGTTTGTGGTGGTTTCTTTCCCTCTTTCTCTCTGTTTTTCTCCCAAATCACCCAATGATAAGAGGGTAAAAAAAGAGTTCTTAGTTTTCAAAGTAAAAATAATAGGAATAGAGTAAATACAAATCTAAGATTATATAGATGGGCCTGAAAAGGGTATGTGGGAAGGTTGGGATGTTCCAGAGACAAGGATTTCTGTAGAGAAGGCGTCAGATAAGGCAGTCTGTGCCTGCCCTCCCTCGGGCAGTGGGTGGTGATACTTTGCTTTTAATCAACTGTTAAACTGCAACTAATAGTGAGGAAGATAATAGGCTCAGTTTCAAGAAAACTGTTTATGAAAGCCAAAAATGTTTACCTTATGAAAATTTCTGTATATAGTGTGAGAAGATTTACAAAAGTGTTTGTTTTTTAAATAAAAGAACATTTCTTTATACCCAACCTTGTTCCACAAAGAATTTGAATTGGTTTATAAAACTACTTTCAGTACAGAAGGATAAATAACCAGCCAGTAGAATGGGGTCGAAGAAACGTAGATGGAAACAGACCCAAGCCAGGGGTGGTGGGCGGGGGGCTGCAGACCCCCCCCCCCAAACGCCCTGCCTGTGATTCCAAAGCTGATTTCAAGCCACCGCTTGAGGCGAAGGGCAGCCTTTCTTCATACGGAGTCCTAGGGGAATTTCTCTTGTAGAGTTTCATAAAGGGGACACTCTGAGGAGGAAGATTCTGTCCTGGCAACTTGCCATAGAGATACAGAAGCAATTTTGTACCGTCTTGTATTACACAGTCAGCCATTGTAAGGGGAAATCGTGGCGTCAGAGCTCAGGTTGGTCAAAGCTGGTTGACTTAAACCAAATCAGTCTCTGACTAAGAGACCTGACCTGGGGGAGACTTTAAACTGAGGAAGATTAACATGCTGAGCCAACCAGACTCAGTCAGTTTACCAGAAAAAGGCTCATGTGTGACTCCTTTTAAAATACAAACTTTTCAGAAATTGACGCGCTTCATCTTTTTCTTTCCCTGAAAGGCTGAGGAATTTTTGGAGCTTGAGCCCTGACACTGCCCTGGGTGGAATTCGGAGCAGAAGGCGTCTTGGTGTGGGTGCCGGGGCCCTGGGGCTCACTCACTCTCTGTATGGCCTGTCACTGGCTCCTGGTGGCCAGAGTTTGTGCTCTTGGTCAGCCAAGAGGTTAACTCACCTGCTCACCTGGAGTTGCCATCCCTGCTCACTGAAACCTAGGATGAAAACGAAGACCCTCACCTACAGGTGCCCTTGGTTGTCAGGGGCACTGGGGTGAGGTCTGACCGAGAGAGTGACACAAAGCTAGTCCCATTCCTCACTAGGGGACTAAAGCCTGGGACCAGATCCCCAGCTTGAGGTCACTATCTGAATGACCAAAACTTGCTGTGACTCGCTCAGGTGACCTATAAGGTGAGAGCAGTGATGGTAACACCATGTACGTGCAGGGTTTGGAAGAGCGCCTGCACGTCGCACGTGCTCAATACATGTTTGCTGTTATTATTATTAAATGCACATCGCAGATCAGGGGCGTCGCTGTCAGATGTTACCCACAGCTTAACCTTTAAATACAGAGATTGTAACACGCTGTGTTGTAAGCTCCCCTGTTGACACAATCTGATTGTGATCCTTTAGGCAGAGGGTACATTTTTGTTTGATAATCGAGAACGACAGATGTAGACACCCCTTTGATCTGAAATATAGAGCCTTACGTGTATAGCTACAAGTTGCCCCTTGGAGATAGGCTGTCACGGTTCCTTGGTTTAAAGGGAGCTGTTTGACAGAGACTCTGCTCTCGCTTAGTCCCCTGGCTGCTTGCCGCACCCGGTCTCTTGTTCCTTGCAGGTCGTGAATGTTACTGGGATTTCGGTTGGAACTGGCTTGGCCTCTGCTTGTGACACGCTGATGTCTCAGGTGAGGGCCACCCTCCCCCACATACCATTTCTGTCGATTACCTCTCATATTAGAGATGATCCAGGGGACTGCACACTCTAGTTTTTGTTGCCTCTTATTTCTCGAATACCATGCTGCTGATGGCTGTAATGCAGATAGAGCTGGCTTTACTAATTCTGTCCTCTGGGCCTGTCTGCTCAGGGGCTGTGTTTTCCCTTTTCTTTCCTGTCTGATCTCTCCCACCCTAAAAGTGCCCTCCGTCACCCACCACTCCACCTCCGTATCTGTCCCTTTCTCCTCTCCTTTAAGTCAAGCTTCTTGAAAGTGTTCTTTGTGCTCCCTGTCCTGACCCCAGCTCTTGACTCAGCGCCCATTGACGCCTTTCTGTCCCTGTGCATCCCACTGAGCCTGGTCTCCTGCGAGCCTGTTGTGACTGAATCATCAGGTGAACACTTGGCCGTCCGTAACCCACTGGGCCATTCTCTGTTCTCCACAACACTCCCTCAGCTGCCACCATTGCGGGCCTTCCCGACATTCTTGCTGCCTCTCTGGCTACTCCTTCTCAGTCTGTGCCCCTGAGATAGCCCTGCCCCTTAGAGACCCCATGCCCTCACCTTCCACCACTGTACACTCTCTCCCCGGCTTCTGTCTCCACCCTGGTGTTGAAAACGCATATCTCCATCTCCTGCCCACACCTCTCCTGAGGGCCAGAGCCGAATGTTGATTATGTACCAGACATCTCAGGCTCAGCTCACCCAGAACTAAGCTCGTCAGTCTTTCCCACTCTGAACTGTCTCTCCTCTAGGATTTCCTCTCGCAGGAATATACCACCCTCTGCTCAACCCAGAATCCTTCTTCGTTTCCCGTGTCCGTATGTTAGCAGAACTATTGACTGCTATTGACTTTGACTCCTACATGTTTCTTGAAGCTGCTCATTTCTCTTCATCCTTGTTGCCTGTCACGGGATTGGGAGTTGTGGGTTGGAGTGCTAGCATTATCAGAGGAGAGGCAGATTCTGGTCCAGGTCTTTTACGTCGCTGTGTCTTCCCATCTCACCCACCCAGTTTACAACCATAGTGGTTTCCCTACTAGACTCTGAGCTCCTTAGGGAGAAAGACTATATCCCTTTCAGTCTTTTAATCCCTGTAGTTCAGAATCATGCTTGCTGTTTAGTGAGTACCCTGAAATTTGTTGAATGAGTGAGAGGGAGGGAAAGAACAAAGCAGGGATGGGTGGATGAATGGTTGGATAGATGGATGATGGATGGATAGATAGGTGGGTGGGTGGGTGGATGGATGGATGATGGATGGATGGATGGATGGATGAATGGATGGGTGGGTGGATGGTAGATAGATGGATGGGTGGGTGGATGGATGGATGGATGGGTGGGTGGATGGTAGATAGATGGATGGGTGGGTGGGTGGATGATGGATGACTCCTACCTTCAAACCCAAAGCCTGGAAGAGTGAGGACAGCTTTATGTGCATGGGAAGAACAACATCCTGAGTTATCCTAAGATAGTTTTTACAGGCTAAGCTGAACATGGCTTTAAAGGACTTAATGTAATTTAGGCCAAAGTTACCTCTGGATTGGCATGGCATGGGATATGAAATTTTAATTTAAAATGATTTTTTGGTCCCTTTTTTGCACCATTTCAGTCATTTTTATTCATACTTTTTTTTCAACAAAAAAGGCTATGTCTTTAATTTAGTTCCCCACCTATCAATATATAATGGACATCTTTCTGTATTATTAAATATATTTCTGTAATGTCACATTGTTTCCCAAATTTTAAAGTTTTTAGAAAAGATTTATAAAGGTCAAACACATATAGAAACATTAGGTTACCTAGAAAAGTTTTTTTAAAAAGTGAAAAACAAATTACTAAAATTTAGTTGCTCCCTCTAAAGTTACCTCTGTTTTTGGTGACTATCCTCCAAATATTTCAATCTGTGTGTATTTACACACTCACATAATTCTAAAATCTACTCATGGTTTTAATACTTTTTCCACCAATTAAACAGTGCGTTTTGGAGAAACATTGCATGAAGTAGTCATACAGGTTCCCTTTTGATATTTGCATAATATTCTATAACATGTCATTTATATTTCCATTGTTTTATTATTATTTAATTTGTTTCCATTGTCTCTTTTTGTTTGTTTGTTTGGGTTTTTTTTGAGGAAGATTAGCCCTGAGCTAACTGCTGCCTATCCTCCTCTTTTTGCTGAGGAAGACTGGCCCTGAGCTAACATCCGTGCCCATCTTCCTCTACTTTATATGTGGGACGCCTGCCACAGCATGGCTTGCCAAGCGGTGCCATGTCCGCACCCGGGATCCGGACCAGCAAACCCCGGGCTGCCAAAGCAGAACATGCACACTTAACCACTGTGCCACCGGGCGGCCCCTCCATTGTCTCTTTTAATGTGCTTTAAGTTAGACTCTTTTTTGATTGTCAAAAAGAGATAATCAGGGGTCGGCCCCGTGGCCGAGTGGTTAAGTTCTTGCACTCCGCTGCAAGCGATCCAGTGTTTCGTCGGTTCGAATCCTGGGCGCGGACATGGCACTGCTTGTCGGGCCATGCTGAGGCGGCGTCCCACATACCACAACTAGAGGGACCCACAACTAAGAATATGCAACTATGTACCGGGGGGCTTTGGGGAGAAAAAGGAAAAAAAAAATAAAATCTTAATTAAAAAAAAAAAAAGATAATCATTCATGTTGCTTGAAGGAAAAGGTGCCTGGAAAAGGATGCATGAGGCCTAGACTCGGCCAAGACCCTTGTGGGGACCAGCTCCTTCACCTCCGTCGGGGTCGGCTTCTCTCTGGCGCAGCCCTGGCCTTCCATCGCCCACTCTCTGATCTGTGTTTTGGTCTCCTAGCTGCTGCTCACTTGTGGCTTCTCTCCCCTCATCACTCTTAAACTTCAGGCGGATCATGTCATCCCTCTGCTTAGAAATCTCTAGTGACCCTCTTTCCACTGTGGAGGCTGCTGGGCCTGCTGCCCTCCCCCACTCTAGTTCCAGCCACGCTGGCCGCCCTCCCGTGCCTCTCCCAGATGTCCACCCGGCTCACTTGCTCAGCCCCAGGAGGGCTTTGTCCTGTATCACCTTCTCAGTGAGGCCTCCCCAGCCCCAGTTTAAAAACTAGGCTCCCCTTCTAACACTCCATCCCTCTTCTCCGATTTATTTTTCTCCACAGCACTTACTGCCATATCCTAGACAATGCACTCTAGGTCTTGGTTATTTCTCTTGTTTACTGTTTGTCTCCCGTTCCCCTTAGAAACTCAGCTCCATGAAAGCAGGGTCTTCTGCCCACTGTGTTCGCTGCTGAGTTCATTCCCAGTGCCTCAGATATGTCTGGCACATGGTAGGAGTTGAAGGAATATTTGCTGAAGGAATCTGGAAGGCTCTAACATGGGCCCAGTTCTTCCCATACTTTTCAAGCTCTGGTCTCTGCTGCTAGTGCCCTCCATGTCTAACTGTCCCTGTTCCCAGGAGCAGGGGACTCATCATCCCAGGACATGTTTAAAATGCCACTGGTGCCAAGTAGCTCACTGGCCACTCTTGGCTTGGATGCTGGAGTGGGGAGCTGATGGCAAGGAAGCATGGCTGCCCGGCCGCAGGGGTGGCGGGCAGGGCACTTCCATGGAGGGGCTGTTTGTAGTGCAGGTGGTCCAGGCCTTGGCATGCCTGGTACGTGGTGGCATTCTTTATCATTGTATTTGTTTTCTCAAGTCCTTTGGAGGCAAGAACCAAAAACGCGTGGGGATCATACTTCAAAGAGGAATCCTCATCTTGATGCTGTGTTGCTTTCCCTGCTGGGCCATCTTCATCAATACCGAGCATATCCTCCTGCTCTTAAAACAGGACCCCGAAGTCTCCAGGTCAGCAGCGTCTCTAATGTCAGAATCCCAGGTTCAGAGTAAGTGACTGTCTGATCATCTTACCTGTGTTGACATTTTTGGCCAGTTACCTGGACTTGAACCCTATGGAAAATGGAAGCTATGACTGTGGATCACAGAAGCCCTGGGCTGGCAGGGACCCCCCCTGATGCAGAGTGACGCTGTCACCTGACGCCCTGCCCAGGGTGGAAAGACGCAGGACGAGAATGTAATACCCTGGGCACCAGTCGACCTTTCACAGCTTTCCTCCATTTTGGTGTTTTGCAAACACACAGAATATTTTTCCCCTGACAAAAGTAGAATAGCAACACAGTTGCCTTCACTTTTGTCTTTAGAGCTGGGTTTTTTAACCTACAGTTGTTTGTTCTCTGACACTGTCGCTGGGGCACGTGAGATACAAGGAGGCGTCTCTCCTTTCTAGAAGACTGCTGGCCTTGCTTCACTGTGGGGCACAGCTGCAGGCCTGACTCTATCAAAACATTTTCTGAATTTTCCCTGACTTTTAGTTCATTTTGCTGTGTCCATTCCACCTTTTATGCTAAGAATGAGCTAAAAAACGTGAAGTCAGACTTCCCCTTAGGAAGCAGACATTTAGCAGGCCAAACGTAATGCTGATTCAGGTTGTAGAAGGACAGTCACTTAAAACTGTTATTAAATGTTTCCCATATAAATTATTTTTAGTTTTAATTTTCAGAAAATAGTCTATGGATTCAGTTTTAAGACAGTATGACCAGCAATTGTTTTAATATTAACTGAAGGCTATTCTGTCGTTTATTTCAGGATAGCCCAGATGTATGTGATGGCTTTTATTCCTGCCCTTCCTGTAAGTGTCAGGATATTCTTGTGTTTTGCTACGTGAAGCAGCTCGTGAATGTTGTCAGGAGTGTGCCTCCCTGCTGTTTTTTGGTTCGTTCATTTTATCATAGTCCTGTTCATGCACAACTTCCGCATGTGTTTCTTGGACCTGTCACCTCTCCCTGACTGATTCTCAGTGCTTGTGCTGATTTCAGGTCCCACAGCTTAAATTAAACACAAACACTGATGAGGGGATCAAACTTCTCACCTTAGTCTGTGGTTACTTTTGATTGCAAATCAATCAGAATATTTCCTGGGCTCCTCTGGGATTGTGGGAAGAATCACCTGCTGGCACCCTTCAGACTCAGGGCAATGAGTGGCTCCTGCTTCAGCCCGTAAGGGTCTGCCCTTGTTGGGTCTTCAGAGAGTCCACTCTGGAAAATCCCAAATAGTTTGCATCCTAGCATTTGATTAGTACAAGTCTGGTTTTCTGAATTTAAGGTCACATATCAAGAGGAAATATCTTATTAAAAAGCGGAACTGACATAAACTGTTGAATTATACTTTTATATTAATGAGAGGTGTTTGTTTTTCTATCTTATAGGCGGTATTCCTGTTCCAGCTGCAGACACGATATTTACAAAGTCAGGTACAGATTCTTTTTGTATTTTTACTCCATAACACTGGAAATGTATGGTAAATCTTCTTAGGAAGTTTTCCATACAATTTTTTTCCTGAAATTCTACCCAGAGCTCTTTGTTTGGGAAACGTGGGGTCTTGTGGGGGCATTTTGTCCAGCCTGGGAGAGGCGCCCTATGGAGCTGTCAGATTCCTGCGGCCCCCTGCTGCTTCTCTCTGCAGCCCCCACACCCCACCGCTTGCTTCTTCTGTGGGCTGGCTGCCTGCTTTGCATCTGGCCTCAGGCCCGGCTCTGGTGCCTCTGTTTTAGAGGAGGACCCAGAGTTCCTGCAGCCACGTTCCCAGAAGCGCACGGGGATCACCGTGCCCGCAGCACGCCAGAGGGAGAATGGGACAGAGGGAAGGCTGAGGGCCAGAGGTGTGGGCGGAGGTGAGAGGCGAGCTCTGCCTCCCGGGGTCCCCTCCCCAGTCCCTCTAACTGCCTTCGTCCGTGGTCCGTTCCTCTCTGACAGCAACTCTGCGTAAATGCGGGGAAAAAATGTGGAAGTCTTACTTAAAGAAAATGTTCATCCCAGTACTAGTGCAGAGTGGGCAACGGATAAAAAGAAGCGAGTACTGTGGCACTGTCGAACAGAGGGGTGAAGGCCCACTGCACGCCTGCATCGGAGCGGCGTCGCTGGGTGTCCGCCTCCGTTCGGCAGCCCTGCGCAGGAGGGGGGCAGCTTGGCCAGGTGTCTCCCCGACCGTCTTTCCTTTACACCTCGTGCCAGCACCCACTTTGCCCTTCGTGTGGTTATTTCCTCTCTTCTGTCTTTGTTACTGTGGTGGAAACCGTGCCCTCCCAGGTCCTTCAGAAGCAGTCACAAACTTCTGGTGGTTAGGCTGGAAGCTGCACCGACGGAGGAGACACGTGCAGTGGTCTCGACTCCCGGCTCTTGCAGTCTTGTGTAACTTCGCTGTCATTTAACGTGGCTGCCCGTTTAACTCTGAATGTTCATTTCACCAGCTGTTTAGGAAAAGCTCAATCTTCCTTCTGTGTTTCTCCTTTCCTCTCATGCTGCTATCGCGCTCACAACACTTCTGGCATCAGATGTGTGGGTTTTTCCCCCACACCAAGCAATTCAGCCATCCAGCTGAGTGTCCTACAATTCAACTCAATTCTGACACTGCCTACCTGGAGATAGTGTCAGATCCCACAGGTTAAGGGCTCAGTCCCGCAAGATTTCCCCCACTTCAGATGCCAGTGACGAGTCTAGTCTGTCACCTGTGCTTCTGACTGATCAGCTGTAAATCAGAGGTTACCAGTACCCACACCTGGCGTTCAGTTAATTTGCTTGAGCGACTCACAGAACTCAGGAGAACAGTTTACTTATTTCAGGAAATCAGTTACTGTTTACCAGTTTATTATAAAAGGATATGACAAAAAATACAGATGAACATCCACATGGAAGAGATGCATAGGGCAAGGCGTGTGGGAAGGGGCACAGAGCTTCCATGCCCTCTCGGGGCACGCCATTTTCCCATTCTGTCCGTGTGTTCCCCGATGTGGAAGATCTCCAAACCCTGTACTTTTGGGATTTTTATGGAGGCTTGCTCACGTGGGCGTGATGAATCATTAACTCCATTTCCAGCCCCTCCCCCTTCTCTGGAGAATAGGGGGTGGAGCTGAAAATCTCAACCTTCCAGTCATGGCTTGGTTTTTCTGAAGACCAGCCCACATCCAGGAGCCATCCAGGAGTCCCCCCAGAGTCGCCTCATTAGAACCAAGGACACAGCTGTCATCCAGGAAGTCCCAAGGGATTTAGGAGCTCTGTGTCAAGAGCCAGGGTCAAAGACCAACTGTTAGACAAAAGATGCACTTAGTGCTCTTATCACTCAGGAAATTGCAAGGGTTTTAGGAGCTCTGTGTTGGGAACGGGGGTGGGGCAGAGATCAGTATACATGTGTTCTGTTATTTCATACCACTTAACTGATTAGCTTTTGAAAATGCTAACGTTTTCCTGTTTGGGGGGGATTTTAGGGCATCATCATGCCTCAAGTTATTACTGGGATTGCAGCAAATATCATCAACGTGGGCATGCATGCCCTCCTGCTCTATGCCCTGGACCTTGGAGTACTGTAAGTAGTGACCTGTTCACTCATCAAACAGTGAGTGTCTGCTGGATGCTCGCTCTGGTCCTAGGGGCTGGGACATAGGGGAGTGAAGCAGCCTTGTGGGAAATACCTAGAGGTGTTCAGATGCTGCATGTGACAGGGTATGAGCTGGTGCCGAGGAACACCCAGGAGAGGCAGCCAGCCCAGGCTGTTGGAAGGGAGGAGAGGCCGGGCTTCGTCTGGGGACACAGGGGAAAGTGTTGTGGAAGAAGCAGCATGTGAGCCGACTCCTGCATGTGGAAGTGGAGGTAGCCTGCAGGAAGGCACTGCTGCAGCCTGTGAAGACTGAGATGGGTGACTCCAGCAAAGGCAAGAGCGGGGCAGATGCCTGTAGAGATTCTCCTGTTATCTCTGCCTTGTAAGAAATGGAGCCAAATTCCATCTTTATGAAGCTCAAGAAGACGAGGGTCACACATCGAAGGCAGTGTCAGTTTAATCTTCCCTCGATAGGCACTGTGCTGTTGGTCCATCCCTCACTTAACCCCTCTGGTGTGTTGGTCCAGAGCCAGCCTCCTTTGCATGAGCCTCAGCAGTTTTTAGGTGCTTTAGGGCAGTGTGTTTCTTTTTTCTTTCTTTCTTTCTTTTTCTGAGGAAGATTGGCTCGGAGCTAACATCTGTTGCCAATTTCTTCTATTTTATGTGGGACTCTGCCACAGCATGGCTTGACGAGCAGTGCTAAGGTCTGCACCCAGGATCTGAACCTGTGAACCCTGGGCCATGGAAGCAGAGCACATGAACTTAACTGCTATGCCACCAGGCTGGCCCCACTGTGTTTCTTTATAGATGAAAACTGGTTTAGTGGGTCATGACTGGCACTTTAAAAAATGAAATATATTATGAATGAAATAAAATAAAATGAAATAGAATAGAAAATATAAGGTGGTATGGGGACATTTCTATAGGGTGTGTGTGTGTGTGTGTGTGCGCGCGCGCATATTAATGGGGGTACTGAATAGTGATGGAAAATTTCTTTCTTCCTGTTGGTTGCAGTAAAAAAATATACAAAAGCTGTTAATTAAAGGATTTCGGAGAGTTGGAACATAAGAGCAATCAATGAAAAAACAGTTATAACATCTTCCTCTGCCAGAAAACTGGAAGAGGCTTTGGCCATGGGGGAGGTAGGGGTCAGCAGCCAGGTTTGAGAACTGGTGACAGTGACCCACGTAAACACCTGGGTGGGTGTCCAAGTCCTCTGCAGATGGACCTCAGACTGTCTCTTCAAAGTTTCTTGAGCAGATGTACAAAGGACAATTTGGGGATAGGTCGGTAAGAGAACATATAGGAATGGATTAATAAGTGATAAAATGTGAGGCTTGGTCAGGAGAGTGAAATGACACAAATAGAAGGGAAAGCAGAGTTCCTGGCTCTCTGCCGGGATGGGATGCCATTTTATTTGTGGTGCAAAAGTGTCATCTATTGAAGATGCTCTAAGGTCATTTCCTAATAGAAAACAAATTTATTATAATCCTGGGAAATAAAGCCACTGTGACCGTGGACCTGTATTTTGAACACAGTAGCTGTTTGTTATATTCCTTTTAACTAATTATGTGTAAGAATTTATTTGATGGGTCATTTAAGGCTGTTAAGACAAGGGACGGTGATAAATCTTTATGTCTTTTTGTTTTTCCGTTAATGAATAGTAACATTTAATTCTTCCACAATATTCAATGTTGGTGGAAAGAAAAGAAGTCCATTATAAGTGCATATGGTGTCTAAAATATTAAAAAGAGACAGTCCAGGAGTTCTAGATTACTCTAATGACTGATTCTTACAGGGAGCAAAAACTTGTCATGTGGTCTGTTTCTTGGTGTTTGGGGGATACACTCACAGGTGCTGATTACTTTTTCTCCTTCAGAGGATCTGCCTGGGCAAACACCACGTCCCAGTTCTTCCTGTCTGGTCTTCTTTTCCTGTACATATGGTGGAAAAAAATCCACATCGACACTTGGGGAGGTATGAGGACGTTGATTTCTTACATTATGCTGTTTGTTATTCAGAACATGTTATTCTGATTTCTGGATTTTGTTTTCCAGAGGGTCTTTTTGTTTTTATCGTTTGGAAAATTTAAAAATTATATATATTATATAAATTTAAAAAAAATTTAAAAATATTTAAATTACCGACAGTCTAAAAGTTGCAGGTCAATATGAGATTTTTTAAATGTCTATGAAGGCAGATTTTGTTCCTAGAAAACTGTAGCTACTGGGTAAGAATTAGTGTTTAATGAATTAAAATTGCAAATACAAAATCTTAGTTGTTGCTTACGAATCATCGTGCTCTGTTAAAGTGAAGCTTGTTTAACGTCTTATCAACACACGTGAGCAGATCGAACTCTCTTCAACGATCAGTACCGCTTACAGCTTAGCTAAGTGCCCTAAATATTTTAACATGCATTTGTCAATTTAGTAAAATAGATTTGCTTTTTTCTACTTTTTAAAATTGTGGTAACTATATATATAAAATGTAAAATGTGCCATTTTAGCTATTTTTAAGTGTAGAATTCAGTGCCTTTAAGTACATTTACAGTGTTGTGCATCCATCACCATCATCTGTTTCTAAAACATTTTTATCACCCCGAACAGAAACTCTGTACCCATTAAGCAATAACTCCCCATTTTCTTTCCCTCCAGACCCCCAGTAACCTCAAATCTACTTTCTGTGGGTCTTGTACCCTGGAACTTTGCTGACGTCATTTATTAACTCTAGTAGCTTTCTTGTGGTTCTTTGGGTGTTTATATATATAGGATCATGCCATGTGCAAATAGAGATAATTTACTTCTTCCTTTGGGGTTTTGATGCCTTTTATTTATTTATTTTTAATTATCTTATTGAGGTCATGTTGGCTTATAACATTGTGTAAATTTCAGGTATACATTATTATGTATCAGTTTCTATATAGACTGCATCGTGTTCATCACCAATAGCCTGCTTTCATCTGTCTCCGTACATATGTGTCCTTTAACCCTTTTGCCCTCCCCCCACCTCCTTCCCCTCTGGTAACCACTTATCTATTCTCCTTATCCATGTATTTGTTTATCTCCACATATGAATGAAATCATTCGATGTTGATCTTTCTCCTCTGACTTATTTAGCTTAGCATAATACCCTCAAGTTCCGTCCATGTTGTCGCAAATGGCAAGATTTCATCTTTTTTATGGCAGAGTAGTATTCCATTGTGTATACACCACATCTTCTTTATCCATTCGTCCCTTGATGGGCACTTGGGTTGTTTCCGAGTCTTGGCTGTTGTGAATAACGCCGCAGTGAACGTACGGCGGCGTATATCTTTACGTGTTTGTCTTTTCATGTTCTTTGGATAAATACCCCGCAGGGATAGCTGGATCGTATGGTAGTTCTATTCTTAATTTTTTGAGGAGTCTCCATACTGTTTTCCATAGTGGCTGCACCAGTTTGCATTCCCACTAGCAGTGTATGGGGGTTCCCTTTTCTCCACATCCTCTCCAACACTTGTTATTTCTTGTCTTGTTAATTACAGCCATTCTAACGGGAGTGAGGTGATAGCTCATTGTAGTTTTGATTTGCGTTTCCCTGATAATTACTGATGTTCACCATCGTTTCATGTGCCTGTTGGCTGTCTGTATGTCTTCTTTGGAAAAATGTCTGTCCATATCCTCTGCCCATTTTTTGGTCAGGTTGTTAATTTTTCGTTGTTGAGTTTTGTGACTTCTTTATACATTTTAGAAATTAACCTCTCGTCGAATGTATGATTTGCAAATATTTCCTCCCAGTTGGTGGGTTGTTGTTTTGTTTTGTTCGTGGTCTCCTTTGCCATGCAGAAGCTTTTTAGTCCCATTTGTTTATTTTTTCGTTTGTTTCCCTTGCCTGAGTAGACATTTTCTTAATCACCCTAGCTGGAACTTCCAGTACAATGTTGAATAGAATAGCAAATGTAAGCATCTTTGCCTTGTTTCTGATTTTAGAGGTAAAGCTTTCAGTCTTTAATCATTGGGTATGGTGCTACCTGTGGGTTTTTCTTAGAAGCCGTTTATCAGCTTGAAGAAGTTTGCTCTATTGCTAGTTTGTTGAGTGTTTTTTTTCATAAAAGGGTGTTGGATTTTGTTAAATGCCTTTTTTTTTGCATCAGTTGAGATGGTCATTGTTTGTTTCCTTCATTCTATTAATATGGTATATTACATTGATAGATGTTGATCATCGCTTGCATTACTGGGATAAACCCCACTTCGTCATGGTGTATAACCTTTTAACTGCTGCTGGATGTAGTTTGCCAGTGTTTTGTTGAGGATTTTTTCATATATATTCATACAGGATATTGATCTGTGATTTTCTTTTCTTGTGATGGCTTTATCAGGCTTTGGTATTAGAGTAATGCTGGCCTCATAGAATGAGGCCATGACTTTGGTAGTGTTACTTCCTCTTCTGTTTTTTGGAAGAATTTGAGAAAGATTAGTGTCATTTCGTCTTTAAATGATTGGTTTAATTCACCAGTGAAGCCATCAGGTCCTGGACTTTTCTTTGTTGGGAGGTTTTTGATCGCTGATTCAGTTTCTTGTTAAAGGTTTGTTGAGGGGCCAGCCCCATGGCTGAGTGGTTAAGTTCGTGTGCTCTGCTTCGGTGGCCCAGGGTTCGCTGGTTCAGACCCTGGGCGCGGACATAGCACCGCTCATCAGGTCATGATGAGGCGGCGTCCCCATAGCACAGCCAGAGGCACTCACAACTAGAATAGACAACTATGTGCTGGGGGCCTTTGGGGAGAAGAAGGAAAAAAAAAAAAAGATTGGCAACAGATGTTAGTGCAGGTGCCAATCTTTAAAAAAAAAAAAGATTTGTTGAGATTTTCTGTTTCTTTTCAGTCAGTTTAGATGATTGATGTGTTTCTAGGAATTTTTCTACTTCATCTAGCTATCTTATTTGTTGGTGTACAATTGTTCACAGTACTCTTTTATAGTCCTTTTTATTAATGTAAGATTGGTAGTAGTGTCCCCATGTTATTTCTGATTTTAGTTATTTGAGTCTTCTCTCTTTTTTTCTTAGTCAGTCTAGCTAAAGTTTTGTCAATTTAGTTGATCTGATCTTTTAAGAACCAATTTTTGGTTTCTTGATTCTCTCATTTATTTTTCTATTCTCTCTTTCATTTATTTCTGCTTTAATCTTTATTGTTTCCATCGTTCTAGCTTTAGGTTTAGTTTGGTCTTTTTCTGTTTCCTCAATGTGTAGAATTAGGTTATCAATTTGAGATTTTTTTTCTTTTTTAATGTAGGCATTTACAGCTGTAAATTTCCCTTTGAGTACTGCCTTCACTGCATCTCACGTGGTGTGTTGTGTTTTTGTTTTCTTTTGTTTCAGAGTATTTTCTAATTTCCTTTCTGATTTGTTTAAGATTGTGTTGTTTAATTTCCACGTATTTGTGAATTTTTCCGATTTCCTTCTGTTATTGATTTCCAGCCTTATTCCATGGTGGTTGGGGAAGATACTTTTTTTGATTCAGTCTTTTAAAATGAATTGGAACTTGTGTTGTGGCCTAACATATGGTCTATTGGAGAATTTTTCATGTGCAGTAGAGAAGAACATGTATTCTGCTGTTATTGGGGGCGGGGGGGTGTTCTATATATGCCTGGTAGGTCTAGTTGGTTTATGGTGCTGTTCAAGTCCTCTGTTTCCTTACTGATCTTCTGTCTGGATGTTCTGTCTATTATTGAAAATAATGTATTGAAGTCCCCAACTATTTTTGTAGAACAACTGTCTAATTCTCCAATTCTGTAAATGTTTGCTTCATATATTTTGGGGCTCCTTTGTTTGGTACATACATGTTTATAATTGTTACATTTTCTTGATGAATTGACCCTTTTATCAGTGGATAATGGTCTTTCTTTATCCCTTGTAACAGATTTTGACTTAAAGTCTATTTTGTCTAACATTAGTAAGGCCACCCAGCTCTCTTTTGGTTACTGTTTGCATGAAATATCTTTTTCCATCCTCTCCCTTTCAGCCTATTTGTCATTTTGTGAGTCACTTTGTCACTAAAGTGAGTCTCCTATAGACAGCATATAGTTAGATCATGTTTTTTAATCCATTCTGTCAATATCAGTCTTTTGATTGGAAAATTTAATCCATTTACATTTAAAGTAATTACTGATAAGGACAGACTGTCTTTTCCATTTTCCTATATCTCTCTACACAGTGTTAGGGTCCTATACAGGCCATCACTACTGGTCAAGCTCACAGAGTTGCCCAGCTGGAGTGTAGACTGAATCCAATCTGTGCTTCACTTGTGTGCCCTGCATCCTAGTACAGGACTGTAGCATCTTTTTCTTAGTACAAAGGTGCACCTGCTGGCCATGCTATATGCCATGGGGTTGTATCCACATACAAGGGGCACCGTATAGGTTAATAGGGGCCCTGGTTTCAGGTTCCTTTTATCTTGTTTCTCCACCATATATGGATTTCATTACCAAGGTCACTTCATAGCCAAGTTGGCTCTCCAGCATTGCTGCTACATTCCAGTTAGTAGGAAGGAGGAGGGAGGGAAGAACAGGATGCCTACATACTCACTTTAAGAATATTTCCTGAAAGTTGCCCACATTGATTCTGATTTTATCCCATTGACAAATACTTAGCTACGTGGTCACACTAAGTTGCAAGAAATGTACAGGTGGCCTCTAAACTCTGATGAGTTTATTTCTGTGAACCATAGGAAAATGAATTTTGGTAGACAAATTGTGGTCTCTGCCACAACTGAGAACTGTGAAGCACTCGGGATGTTAATGGCTGTGACTCTGTGAGTTCTCATACATTCACCCTGAATAGTCATTTATCTTGCAAGATAGCATGCATGCTCCTGCTTGATGAAGTTTCCAGAAAAAGTCGTTCATCATTTTACTAGTGGAAATAAATACTTCTCAGTTAAGTAAACTCTGAAATAATGGATTGCTAATTTTAACCCAAGTGAGTCCCAGTATATTTGTACAAATGCT